ACTTAGAATATAAAGAAGGTTTGACAGCTTAAACTCTTAGAAGTATTTCCTTAAGCAAATATATCTAATTCTTTTCTATTGTTCACCTAGAATTCTATCTAACCAATCAATCGGATTTCCCCTAATGGTCGTAAAAACAATGTATTGAGTAATTTCAAATACTAAACCCAAATCATGTAAAAATGTAAATTAGATAAGAGAGATCTAACCAATAGAAACTGTTCTCATAAAATTAATTATTCTAAAAGGCATTTTGATTAGTGAATAAAACGAGTCCAATCAGCACGTGTTCTTAGGGTTTAAAATATGAAACCCTAAGGGACCATACATTACTATTATGGTTGGACTCGAAATTAACATACATGTATATAGACATCTTTGTTTTTTCACCAGGTTCGTAAACTTTATAATTTTTGTTTAATGAAAAATAAAACATAACCTTATTTATCTTTTAATGTAACAATTTTATAACAGAAAACTTTCTTTATTAAAGTTACCGTTAATATCATGATAAACTATTTCAATTAAGTAATAAAGTATTTTGATAATTATTAATTTAAGTTCATTTTAAGAATCAAACTCTTTTATTTCATATTAATGTATTTTATATGATTACTCTTATGGTTGGACTCGAAATAAACATTTATAGACATCTTTGTTTTATTCACCAGGAGGCCTCGAAAGAACGCGAACGACAGTCCCCAAAATTGTCGTAGTTAAAAAAAGTTAACAGAGAAATGTAAACCGCAGATCGACAATATAACTCTCAGCGGGAGAGGGGAGACAACTGCTTAGTCTGCCCTTCCTCTCTTTCCCGCATAACATACACAATATTGGCTATTATTTTGATGAGTTTTAGCCTTTCATTTAGTTTTATTGAATTTTCATGATGTAAGATATGGAGTTGTGTTGATTTTGCTAAATGAAATAGAAGTTATATAGCAATTTTTATTTCATTTCATTCCCACATGAACAACTGTATGTCAAGTAAGAATTTCATTTATTCTTAGTGAAATCAAACGACCAATGTTTTATACACGTAATTCATACAGTAGGGGCTTATAAGCAAAATTATTTAATATTTGACATATGCTATACATGTCATAATATATGAATTCATGAATCCAGTGCCCAACATTTATTTTCAATACGATAAAATGTTGATAACATGTGAAAATACCATATTTTATACTAGATCAACACATTAAATCGGATTTCTGTCGTGCCGGGTTTACAAGGTAACAATCCAAATGAAACACTTCAACGTTCAAAATAAACATTTCTCTTCCAAAATTGACTCCAAGCCGACCGGTATATTTTATTTGCTCTTATTTCGTAAATTGCGTATACTTTATGGAGATGCAAAAAACACCAATTTTAACCTCTTTGGTTTGAACCAACCTGCTACCAAACCCGCAACCTCACACACTCGACGAGGCAAGAACGATACCTACATACTATTTAGTATTAAGATCCATGGTGTGTAAGACAGACTAATTTGGTGATCTTAATGTAGTCGTGTTTAATTTATTTCAACGAAGGATTGCTTTTTGGCAAAGTGTTCTGAGCAGAACAATAATTATTTCAATCATAATAATGCCTAATTTTTATCTTTTATTAGTATGCATTTGAATCCTCGTCTCTTCTGTATTTTCAAGTCATAAACTGCTTTTAAGTTTACTTTTCACAGAATATGACAAAATTTGTGATTCATTATCCTGAGAAGAATATTTGTTAAGTTAAAAAATGTTACTTATTTTCTAGAAAGTACACCCGGCTGTATCATGTAGTCAAGGGACAAGCAGTGTCGTTAAACACAAGAAAATTGAGAAGGCCACATGTAAGGTGTACAGAACATGCACCATTCGCAACATATTACATTCTAAAATAGCTTAAATCGTTATATGTAATAACGTTGCATTTTACTTACTGCAGTTTTCCTTTATTAGTATCGAGAAAACGCTTTTTTATACTTGTAAGTTGGTCTTTAAATACTAAAGGGTGCACACTGATTAAAGGACGAGGCGTTTAAGTGTCGGTGATCCTGACAAAAACGCATCGCCAATTGCCGTATAGTGTTTGCCAAACAAACTAAATTGTGATATCTCGCTTATTGCCGTATATTAATGTTCAAACAACAATTGTGATATCTTGCCTTTGGTGTTTTTTGTTGGTCAAACAAGAATTGTGATATCTCGCCTATGTCGTATATTGTTGGTCAAACAACAAGTGTAATATCTCGCCTTTGCTGTAAATTATTGGTCAAAAAACAATTGCGATATCTCGCATATGTCTACATTGTTAGTCAAACAACAATTGTGATATCTTGCCTTTGTTTTATATTGTTGGTCAAACAACACTTGTAATATCTCGGCTATTTGATTTATTGTTGGTCAAACAACACTTGTAATATCTCGGCTATGTCATATATTGTTGGTCAAACAACACTTGTGATATATCGGCTATGTCATTTATTGTTGGTCAAACAACACTTGTGATATATCACCTATGTCGTATAGTGTTGGCCAAACAACACTTGTGATATCTCACCTATCTCATATATTATTGCTCAAGCAACACTTGTGATGTCTCGCATATGTCATATATTGTTGGTCAAACAACAATTGTGATATCTCACCTATGTCGTATAGTGTTGGCCAAACAACACATGTGATATCTCACCTATCTCATATATAATTGCTCAAGCAACAATTGTGATATCTTGCCTATATCGTATATTTTTTGCCAAACAACAATTGTGATGTCTCGACTAGTGTAAAAGTTTTAGTCAAGCGACAATTGTAATTTATCGCCTATGCTATATAGTGTTGGTCAAATAATAATTATGTTATCTCACCTATGTCGTATGTTGTTGGACAACAACAATAGTGGTGTCATATATTGTTGGTCAAACAACGATTGTGATCATATTGTTGGTCAAACAACGATTGTGATCATATTGTTGGTCAAACAACGATTGTGATCATATATTGTTGGGCAAACAACGATTATGATATCTCGCCTATATTGCCGTATAGTGTTGGTCAAACGTCGATTGTGATGTCTCGCCTATGTCGTATATTGTTGATCAAACAACAGTTGTGATATTTCGCCTATGTCGTATATTGTTGGTCAAAAAACAATTGTGTTATCTCTCCTTTGTCGTATATTGTTGGTCAGAATAACTTCGAAGAATCTTTATGATTCGTATCTAGTACATGTAAGTAGAGTATAAAATCTAAGGAACTTTTATTATTTTCTAAGCAAATTGACCTCGTTTTGATGAAATTTCGTTGACAATTACATGTCACCGATTGGTGCACCAAAAATAGGGACATATAATTTTAGCTCGAACTAGAATTTGTATTATGTATTGTAAATACCCACTTCCTGTTTAGTATTTATATCTCAATACAATGAATTTGTTTACGAACCTATTTTTACCTGCACCTTCCACATACATGTAAATAAAAATAATTCCTTTTCTTTTAAAACGTACAATTATGTTTAGTTTCAAATCTTTCAAATTATAAAAACGCTTCCTCAATACGTGTTACTTCTTTTCACATTTATAACATGTATAAGTTAGGGAAACTTTTGAGGTTTTTTACCTTTCATTTAGAACCATTTGTCCATTATTTCCTTTATTAAAGAAGATATCATTCATTTATTTCATTTATTGATTTTTGCTCAACTATTTCATTCATATATAGCACTATGAATACACGAGGCATCGTATCTAACATTCCTATTCTGACCGCTTTCATCTTGTCAGTTATACATGTTTGTTACACTATTTAGTGGGGATGTCAACGAGTACTCGAGTATCGCTCGGTAGGACCGAGTATCGAATACCAAAATGATACTCGACTAATCGGTTTCCGTTAGAATGTTGTTGCCTTCTTAAAGAAATAATATTTTAATTAAGAGGGCCTCCCGGGTAATTAAATGTTCATCAAAATTAAAATACGCTTCGAATGTTTTCGTTTAATTGTCACTTAAAATTCCCTCGAACAGATGTAGGCTATGAACAAGAGCACATTTCTAAGGCTTACACTTTTAGCTTATTGTGTCTTAGTCATTCCACCACCTCTCTACCGTCAGAGCAAATATTTTCATCAGCATGACTGTTAGTTACGTAACAAAGTTGAGAAATCGACTCGTCCAAGAAAAATTTGAAAAGATAATATTTCTTCACAAGAACAAATTCATTGCACCCTGTATCGACCCTCAGAGAATGATTAAAGGCGTCAGTAAGTTCCAATCATCACCCCTTTGTTGATAATTAAATGTGTTTTTTTACGATTCACAAATACTATTGTTTGAGTAAACATTTTTCTATAGATGTTTATTAATTAATTGATTAGATTATTGCCAGTTAACATAATTAGTGGATGTAGTAAATGAGCTATTAATTATGGTATAAAGTTCCTAGGACTATTATCTAGTCCTAAGTAATAATTTGGAGGGTTTTGCGTCCATAAGACAACGACCCACAATACGTAAAATGGGTATAATTTTGTGTTTCCATTTTGTAGATGTTTTTCCGAGCGAGTACTCGAGTATCGCTCGGTAAATCTAACGAGTACTCGACTAGTAAATCTTCACCGAGTTGACATCCCTACTATTTAGTGTTTATTTTGAAACCAATTATATCAGTTGATTTATATGTCAATAAAGATTTGAATTTTGTTAATGACGTCTTTACACTAAATCCATTGGATGTTGGATATGTACTGATTGACAGGTGAGCTAATAACACAATATTTGATGGCAGCCTTTAATGAAACAATATGTAATAGTTCTCCTAAATAAACAAATCTGTGATAATGCCTCATTATGAAACAATCAATGATGGTGCCTCTTAGTTATATAATGTGTTGGTTCTAATTATCATGATACCCCTCAATAAACAAATCGGGATGGTGTTCCTTGATGCATAAAATTGTAAAAAAATCACTAAAAATAATATCTGACAAGAAAAAAGAATACAAAAACAATATTGTGTAATGTCTTTAATGCATTCAGTATTTCAAAGTCAGCAATTTAAAATGACAAAACTTAACAACCAAATCTAACAAAGTACTTATTACAAATCTAAACAATTAAAGCATGGTTTTATTACTTGATGACCTTTTAAAAATGTACCAACTATTTCCTTCCTATGTACAAATTATTTAAGTAGACATGGGTCAACAATTAAAAATATCATCAACTCAATTAGGATCATTGAGAAAAAACATTGAAATGTAAAATGCATGAAGCATTTATTTCCTTTCAACAAAGGGTTAAAAGTTTTTAGTGGACAATTGTTATATCTTAAATCTCATCATAGTCTACTTGGGATAGTCGTTTGTTATACTTATTCAATACTTGAAACTTCAGCTATGTAGATAATGTTTACATATTCTGATAAACTAAATATACTAATATATCTTTTTAGAAAGCATTAAAAAACACAGCACATAACTTATACATGACCAGTCAAGGATTCCGCTGAGCCTGGGAGAAAAAGACTTGAAGGCCAGACGGTGACCAATAGTTGTTAACATCTAGGTCATTTGGTCTCTGGTGGAGAGTTGTCTAATTGGCAATCATACCACATCTTTTCATTTTTTTATAATGATACATTTTCAAAATTTTTATTCTCAATATTAGCTGCATCAAACAAATTTTTTTTTAATGGGGAAGGTTTATTGAGCAAAAAAAAATTCATTCAAGCCTATGACCTTCTCTGGTTATTAATTTTTTTATAAATATATTTGAAGTAAGATGGAGATGTTATCTGTATCCTCATATTGAAATTACCTCATGCTCCTTTTGCTGCATCGTAAGTTTCTCATTAATGAAAAAGACATTTTTTAGGCTAAGTTTTTTAAAATTTGATAATATGATTCTTAATTTTTGTTTCATTAAAACAATTATCTCAGGGACTAATAAATAATTAATAAATTTTGCACTCCTATAAAAAATTATATTTAAAAATGTATGTTTTAATTTTCAAAATGTACTGATGGAATATAAACAATAAAAAGTCTAACAAATTAATATTTCCTGTGTTTTATGTTTCACTGTATATAAAAAAAAATTATAGGGAATTTCCTTTATTTGCTATATTTTTAAGCTTCCATGAATTTTTTTTTGTATGACGAATATTAGCTATCAACATTTAATATCAGAAGAGTGTCAATGAAAACTTTAGATATGCATATTACATGTATAAAAAACTGAAGTGCAGCTATTTCAATTATTTTGACCTGTCCAGGAGTTAGCTTCCTTTTAAATGACGCCCAGTCAGCTGCAATAAGTTATTAAAAACAATTGTTTCATAATGCCTGTTAAATAACAAAATGCTAAAAAAAAAAAAGATATTGGAAGCATCCTGACAATGATGTATACTATGGACACTTCATTCAAATATCTAAATACACTGCTGACTTGGTTAATGTGCAATAGAGGTTCAAAATATATTGATGTATGCATGAAGGGACTAAGGGCCTAGTCTAGGAATAGATATAATGATGATGATGAATGGCTGTTTAACAACCAGCGGCAAATTAAATACATATTCAGGACGAGAACATGTTAATGTAATGTGAATATTAACCCTGCTTTGTACTAAACCGACATGCTGAGCCAGATTTTTAATGTGCAAGGGTAAAAAGGGACTTTTAAAGTCAGTCCGGTTTAGACATGACTACCTAAACAATAATGTATTGTGTGGTTAGTTAAAAATGAAGGATGTTTCAAAGAGTGCTTCATATTACCAATTCAAATGTTGTGCTTAAAATTTGCTCCTTTCTTAATCTGCAAGTTCAAAATATGAATTAGTACTGTGAATTGAAAATTCATTAAAAAAAATTATTTTAAAACATTAAAATACGAGGTTTACCAAATATGATCAGATGTATACCATCATGTTAACATTCATCAACACATGGCCTACTTCTAGCAGTCACCAGATCTACTTGACCCACTCCTGAGAATTATAGAAAATATAAATATATACATGTTTTTTTATGAAGGAGGAAGTAATTATATAAACAAAACATGATAGCTATGAATAATAAATCGAATGACACAAACATTCAAAATTTACATCATATGATAATGATTTTTTAAATATCTAATTGCTACAGAATTCTTATATAAAATATTGATGCAGTGAGCTGAATTTTTTCACAACCACTTACTAAACTGACACATGAATAACAGGACATGAAATTGTACGGTGTTTAAAAACTTTAATTTTTAGAGCACAGGCTATATTCTAATAATGATATCAATAAAGCAAATATTAGATCAACCAAAAAACTTTTTTTGTTTGTTTTGCCAACCATATAAACCACCCAAAAATTAATTTTCATAACAACTTATTTTTGTTAGCCTACTACATGCCACTGAATGTTAAGCAAGCCACATTTAATCAATTAACCTTACTGATTTGCAATTGCCTGCTAGTGTCACTGTTTTTTCATCCTTATACAACTAAAAATAGTTCTAACAGGCACTGTACTATAGGACTCTCAGGACCATATCACAATTTACTATAACATATTTCTGATGTATATATTCAGTCTGGACAGTAGCACCCTCTTAATTGAATACCCTATCTAATGCTTGGTATATAAATGTTCCAATAAGACATTAATATAATGTGATCGCTGAAATAATAACTTTGAAAATTTTCTGGGTCATAATCATAATAAAAGAAAAGATAATTTATTTTATCCAAAATGACAACATGTGTTGTTTTTTCTCAAACTAATTTTCTTTTAAAACATCAAAAACCAAATTAACAAATTTGATCAAAAATGTAATACACTTTTTCTTTGAAAAGAGTGAAATCACTGTTTAAATACTAAATTATTAATATTTAGTGCAGATTTTCAAAAATGACAGATGCAAATGATGAAACTGAGAAAATTCTGAAATGAATATAATCTAAAAATTACTAAATATCCACAAATTTTCATAAATTTGCAATACTTAACAGGATGTAAAAAAACATAACATAACATTATGAAATGAGACAAATAAATATAATGTACAATTTACCTTTATGCACTTTGCATTAATTGCCCTATTTAACTGATATGCCAAAATACACAATATTTCTGATTCTTTATTTCCGCGATGGTGTTTTAAAAAATCATTAATTAACATGCTTTCGCCATTTATATATACATGTATAATTACATAAGAGTGGCAAAATAGAGAAAAAACATACGATAATGCATATAAATATTTTTAGATGTTCAATCATTCAAAAGATTAATAATTAAGTTATATGGTATGTGCTGTTCCTGAATTACATGCATTGGGAGTATTATTTTTAGACCCCAACCATAATATAAAATTTAATTTTACTTATAATTCTTATAAAATTCTAAGGAAAATGCATTCATCAACAATTAGATAATTTGTGTGCCTCCTTTTCCCCGCCATGATAAAAGTTGGAACAGCCCTTTATGAAGATAGCAACCTCGTCTTTGTGTTTCACACTGTGATGTATGTAGAGATAAAATCTTGTTTTTTGCACATGCATATGGTTTGTTACGATAAAAGGATTGAAAATCTGGCAAAAGTGAACCCTGAAGTGTTTTGATATTCATGATAATGCTCATAGCAAAACTTAATGTTATGGAAAAGTAAACAAACAATAGGAACCTTAAAGCAGTGATCATAATAAAAATAAGCAGCCAATCAAAATCCATAATAAAAATTAGTGTTTTTGTTAAAGGCACTGAAGAAAATTTAAAAATATTGACAGAAACCTAGGAAAAAGCTAACATATAAACTATAACATTATTTTTAATACAGTTATAAGTTTACTGTCATGTTAACATTTTTATACTGATCTCAACGCAAAATAACATTGTACACAACTATGATATAAATGAATACATTTCTAAATAACAATTGAACTGGCAGAAAAAATATTTCAACTGTTATCAAAAATTTACATACAAGTGAAACATATCTTTACTTCCTTCCAACCTTGGGAAGTAATAATTAATACAGGAGGAAAAATTCTTTACACATTAACTTACTAAACTAATTCGAAATCAGGAGTTCCTCATTACACAACAACTAAAAAGTTCTCAATACTGAATCTTCTATGCCATCAAGTTGAATCTGACAAGAGAATAAGAAATAACAAGTATTCCATGCTTATTGTATATATTTTCTATATCTTACTTGATACAAGTCAATATATTAAGCTTGTTAAGTTTTTCCTCAGGTTAAAAAATATAGATTATAGGAACGATAACTTTATTATTCCTTTTTTATGTCTGAGTTAGTAGTCTGGTTTAGATATATTTGTTCCTTATAAGAGAAGTTCCTCTGGACACTTTGTTATAAACAATGCTATAATATCTGTTCTTGTTAAAACAAATATTCTATACTCTAATTCTGATAGAAACAAATACTGTGATATATTTTCCAGTGGAAATAACATTTCAGAATATATCTTCTTGTTGGAAGTATTATTGTGATGGAACTTCTATTTTGTGACAGTCACAACTAGTGGTCTGTCCTAGCACTTAAAATTCACCGTGGCTAGTATCAATTAAATATACTAATTGCCTTTACATACAATTAACAAAACATTTTAAAAGCTGACCATGCATAACTTGAAAGTACATATATTATATCATAAATAAATCAATTTTAAGTTTGTTACAATGTTTAATCTTTCGAATTTCAACAAACTGTATCATAACACATCTATTGTGATACAAACTGTATCATAACACATCTATTGTGGTACAAACTGTATCATAACACATTTATTGTGGTACACTCTAACAATTAATCAAGCTTGACTACTTGTATGATTATTGTACTTCTTCCCAGATACTTTTGCTTTTATTTGTCCAAATATGTTGGTACCCTTCTTCTTTTCTCGTGCCTTGCTTGATGAAGTTGGAAAACTCTCTGTAGATAATGATGTATATTCATTACTGAAGCTACTTTGATTTGATTGAAGCGACGAGGCCCCATGAGACTGGAATGACGAAGAGTGAAATCCAGAGTCATTACTTGACATTGAAGCTGACTCCGACAGCTGACGCTGTGCATTCTTTATTGAGTCATTTGAAAGACGGTAATTTTCAATAGAAGAGAGAGATTGTGATGGTGAAAGTGAGGCTTGTGACTGCAGGGAAGATGAAGAAGGTATCGACATCGGTGAAGATGACTCTATACTTGAGCCCATACGAGAAGGTTCAGGGTCTAATGGTGCCTTCACTGACTTAGCTAGTCTGTCCCAGAACCATTCCATCAAATCATTTTTGGTATAGTCACACAATGTTACATGTCTAAGAATTTGTGGAATGGGCACTGAAGGTTCTATGAGGACAGGAATAAGCTTCTTACTTCTTGCACCTACAAAGAAATAAATTGTATTAATGATGCACAAAATATCAGGATCCTTACAAAGAAAAAACATATTGAAGCCTTTATGAATGTCAAATATAAGTTGAAAGGCTGAATGATACAGGTCCAATTTTGTTGTTGTGTTGGTTAGTTGCTGTCTCACAGTCTATTATCATTTACACATCATCTGCTCTTACTTATATATATATAGTTAATATGAATGACAGACTGTTATTTCACTCAATCAGCTCTACAAATTTTATACCTATTAAAGTTACTTCCTAAGAAAAGGCACATGAAACGAAGGTCATAATAAAAGGTCAAGAGGTAGACAGGGGTTTACAGGAAATAACTGTTGAAATCAGTAATGATTTGGTAATAAGCAGTTTCATCCAATTTCTTTAACCATTCATGTGATACATAATTCAAATTATCTGTGTTTCCTAGCTTAGTTTGTACCTTTTAAGATTAAGGTCAAAAGGTATATATATATATATATGTAAACCTTACAACAGAAACAGCTAAAAACAAAGGCATCTAATAGTATAAATGTAAATCAAAATGTATTCAAACTCAGATAATATCAGTGGGCCATAAAATGTTTCCAAGTCATATTGATATTTATATTCAATAACTGTTCTATATTTCTAAACAAAACTTCCACAAGGATCTTCATTTTAGGCTTCTTCCTTATATTATACCTTTTTTAGCAACATACTCCCCATAAACAGGTAGCGATTTATTTTCGCAGAAATTTTTCTGAGGACAGCTGGAATTGCCTCTGGAGATTGAAAATGTAGAAGATTATGCTTATCCTTTGTTTACAAACCTGATCACATTTAACATATGTTTATAAATGTGTGTTAGTTTATTTCTCTCCACTACTGATATTTTTGTGCAAGCTTTAGGCATGTTAGGATAGCTTTCACTTCTGGAAACTATTTATACTTGTTCAAAAATACTGAAAACATATGAATACTCCACTGACATTGTTCCAATAATAAACTGATTTCATTGGTCAATGATAATGTGTTTGTTTCCTCTAACTAACCTTTTCCCTTTTTAGCAATGGGTCTTATTGCAATTTGTTCTCAAACCAGCCAACAATGCAAATTATAGAAGGAATCATAATACATTTCTTAAGGAAGATTACTTTAAACCACAAACATCCAGGCATCAACATTTTGAGAACTTAATACTCATCGTTATGACATTTTTAAGAATAGTTCTTACCTGGTGCTAAAGCATGAGCAAACTTGACTTGGAAATCACAGGCAGAGCTATGTAGATATTCATGTGATAAAACTATTATCATTCTTTTACATCTACAAAAATAAAAAACAGATATGGTAATTAAAGATATTAAATGTAGCAATATGATCTAGTGCCCTCTAAATGAAAGTATTTCCAATGCAAATTACTTCAAAATTATGTCAAATTTACAGAATTATTAATTGGAATCCTGAAAGACCATCCTTTTGCATACATTTTCGAAAACCGACTCAATAAGGCAATTTAAAATTTCCATTTTTTCCAGAATCCATCTTTTCTTAGGAGGTCTCACCATGGTATGATTTTTCTAACATGTCAATTTATGTTTAAAAAAGTGGTGTATTAAGGCGTTTTCATAAATACTTGTATCAAAAAACAATGAAGGCTTAATGTCAAGGAGACAACAACCTAACAATACTAATTCCTGCAAAAAGACAATAAAAGGTCACAACATTATGTTTAGTTAATGGCACCAATACATCATATGACAAGATCTTAATCGCTTAGAGTCATGCATAAAGTTACCAGAAACAAACAAAGATTTGACATCCCTATTCAAATTAAATGAAAAAAGCCAACCACTGACAATTTTTATAACAGGGGACAGATCTATAATCATCCTGTGGGTAAAATTGACTTAGTTAGAAATCAACATTTCCTTATTTTCTAGGAAGAATTTAAATTGCAGTATAACAATAATATATGTCTATGTAATCAGTGTTTATAAACCATTGGTACATGTATATGTAAATTCTCTAACTCGTAACATTCTACACAACTTTCAGCATCAAAAAAGTAAACACCATAGCCTTAATTTTTTTCAGGTAAAATCCTCTAACATATATTTGACATATATATAACATAGAACAAGAATGTGTCCATAGTACATGGACGCCCCACTTGCACTATCATTTTCTATGTTTAGTGGACTGTGAAATTGGGGTCAAAACTCTTATTTTGCATTAAAATTAGAAAGATCATATCATAGGGAACATGTGAACTAAGTTTCAAGTTGATTGGACTTCAACTTAATCCAAAAACTACCTTGACCAAAAACTTTAAACTGAAGCGGGACAGACGGACGGACGAATGAACGGACGCACAGACCAGAAAACATAATGCCCCTACTTCTATTGTAGGTGGGGCATAAAAAGATACCTTGATTCTATAAGTTTAGCATCTGTTACATATCTGGAACCTCCAGGTAGATCATCTCTGCCAGGGACACACAGTTTCAGATCATATTCCTTTTCAAGCTTTTTAATCATGTCTTTCACAAAAATAATATCCTTCCCAGTGGAATCTGCATTGTAGCATACAAAAGCGTCAAACAATGTTATACTGCCATCAACTGAAAAACACGGGTTGTTAATGAATATTTGTTAAACATAACATGTAACAACTTAAAAATGCAGGTCATGAATTAATATTTATAATAAAAAAACAAATTGATTTAAATGATACTAGAGCAGATAGTACAAATTATTTATTGTTTAATTCAATGGTTTCATAGCATTCTCATGTTCTAATTAGAAGCCTAATGGTTACTGTTTCATGGAACTCCTATACCCAGCATTCTTTTATTTATCTACATGTAATTATAATGAAAGTCTAAAAATCCTTCAGATAAATGTTTCTGTAAAAAAAAAATTTCTTCATCTTAGTGCATTTTTTCATCTTAACCCTTAGACTGCTGCATTCATTTCTATTGTACTTTTGTGTATTGCTGAATAAAATTTTAATCACTGATGAAATAAACATGTTTACTTACAATTGCAATATCTTTGTAAATATTGAATATTCATCAATAAAAGTTATATAAAAAAGTATTGTTATATTCTGTATTTTTTATTTATTTTATTTTTGTGTGAGTCTCCGGTCATTTATTACCTGTACAGGTGCAAATAGAGGTAAACAAAGGTAATTTTTTTTTTCATGTTTTATTAACGCGAATCCATCAATGTAAAAACTTTTCAAAGGTATCCATGACTTCAGAATTGAACCAATATTGTTAAAAATCTCTTTTAAGAACTAGTTCCATTGTGATTATCAAAAGAAAAAAGCTTCTTCTCGGAACAACGTTTTTTTTATGCAACTATTTTCCAGTATTTTCCTTCCGACTTTCGACTTTTACTTCCATGTACAAATATGTTTTAACAACAAGTTCATTGATATAACTTTCGTCAATAAATAATCTTGACAAACATAATGTTTGAATCTTTCAATGTCAGTGATCAATATTGATTCACAGTTGAAAGGCGCAATGATAAACATCGCAAATCCTGTTTCATGTCATCCATTTCGAACATCGTCTGGGGAATCCCCGTGGTTCCCGCTTTAAAAGTCTTCTTTTCGCTGTTTTGCTAGAATGTTTCTATTTCTATCTATTATATCTTCTGTTCTCGTCCAAATCATTTAAATTGGCCGCCGCTGTTACATCGTTATCATTGAAATACTTCTGAACGTGTTGGCCATCACTCCAAACAATTTCCGCCATTTTGTTACTTTTTTCATCTAAATTTTTCACTTTTGGTTTCATTGCTTATACCTGATTTAAAGTCAAGAGAAACTCGAAAGTATGCCGAATTTTAACCAATCAGAATCCATACAAGTCTAAACTAGCGCAATCTCATGAATATTGACTCCGCCCATTCCATGGTAACTGTGTAAACAAATGAGATACGGAAACGACAATAGTCGCGCGTAGCAGTAGCGGACTGCTTAATCGGAACGACAATAGTCGCCCGTAGCAGTCTAAGGGTTAAGGGCAGGGCTTCCAAAACGGTCATATATTCCGGACTTGACCGAAACTTTCATAAAAAGACCGGCTGCTCTCAGCCTCAAACGGTCAAATAGAATTGGTGTGCCACATTTTGTTATTCAAGGCATTTTCATGAAACGGTCATTTCAATTTTTACCAACTATCGATCGATAAAAATGTCCGTTTGGGGCTTTGGGCATGTCCGTTTGGGCATTTTAGTTTATAATTGTGGCAATCTATTTCACAAAGATATTTCGGTCATAATTGGGTTTAATAAAACAGAAGCAGCATATTTCAGATACTTTGAAGTGTCTCAGTTAGTCTAATCCTCTGGGTACATAAATGTACGGCTTGGTCTTTAGCTTGTGTGCATCAATAAAAAGTAGAAAAAACACGTTTTCTTTTATTTAAATAACAACAAGCTGTCAAACAATTATCCCTTCAATAAGTTATATTGAAGCCATAAATCATTCACTGATTACAGGTTTGTTACCTTTGATGAGGTGTCCTTAGCTTATCTTTATCAATAGAATTAATGATGCATAACAATGTACATAAAGGTAATCCGGTAAACGAGGTCAAACATGTAAGCGTGTATGGAACAACATCCTATTTAATTACGCTTTATAGATATTATTTTAAATGAGCATTCAGTTTTAAAAGTATCCTGATATTTAAAAGTTATTCTTCAAATAAGGATATTTATAAATGAATAAGTATGATATATATTATTTTATTTAACACTGTACACTGTACATCGTGTTAAATACTGGGGTACTCTCAAGGGGAAAATTTACTAAAATATATAGGAAAAACCAATGGACAAATTTCAGTCAATAAATGATTTAACTAAGTTAAATGGTGCCGTGATCACTTCTAAATTATATCAAGAGAACAATGCCTGCTCCGAATTTATTCAGACAATTTCCAATGTTATAGAGAAAGAGGTGATGTCCGACGTAAAGTTAAGTCCCGCCGTGGGAATTATGATCGACTAAGGTGTAGTCTAGGTATTGACGCTTTAGATCAACTTATGAGGATAAGCTTAGTAGGTGTAGATGTTAAAGACTTTGACCCTGTTCCTGCTATCCGCAAATGGCAATCCGTTCGTAACCGCCATGTTTATCAGAACAATGCATTTAGCAAGCTCATGAATGTAAAATCTTTAATTAGACTAAATGAACTCTAATCTTGTGCTGTGATCTGTGCTTCTTTTCAATGTGCTCATTGTAATATTTATTGCGTGTGTTTGTCAGCATTGTGCTCTTCTGACATTTTATTGTTGTTATATGCTTACATAAAATATCATGTTGTTATTCATTAAATTATTTATCAACTGAGGATGTTTTTATTTATTCCTTATTTTCTAAATCAGGTTGGGAAATTGTACAAAGAAAAATGTTATCACTGTTCAGTAGATTTTACACGGTTTAAAACAATATCCTTCATCGGGCCTCCTCAATGTTATCTATAAATACCGTATCAGTTGTAAAAGTCACGTGGTCAGGTAATAAATACACAAAAAGAAAAGTATCACGTGTATTGATGATCAAGTTGTACTGCAATTAAAGCCAACATCAACAGTTTCAAATAAGATGGCCTTAATTTACAAAGTGTTAAGTACTCACAGAGAGAAGATAGATTATATAAACAGAAACAAAAACATGAGAACAGTCAGGTACTGAAGCTGATTGATGCAATGATGGTTACTGTATTACGATACACAGAAAAATGACACAATACCGAGGATAATATTTTATTTATTTTTAGAATGAAGAAAACAAAACAGTTATAAATAATTTTATTGCATATAACACTACTAATTATTTAGACACATATATCAATTTATGCATCCTCTCGGTTACATTTAAGTATCCAGCTGATCATTGACCGTCATAAATAATTCTTTGAAAAATGTCCGGCTGTCGTCAGGAAATTTTGGAAGCCCTGGTTAAGGGATAGTTTTTTTTTACATTAGAGATATGTTTATAACAATGAAGTATTTACCATATATATATGCACCTATACCATATTGTACAAATATCAACATCAAATTGTAAACCTCAGAAGTACTAATTTAAAGTACAGTTGTTACATTTAAATTTTTTCACCAGGGAACCCTGATGACACTTTGAAATCTCTTAGTTGTTTAGAGCTGATGTCAGAAAAGTTTACCAGGCTGGAAGATTTAACTCTTGTTACATGGGTAATTGAAATGTTCAGGTTTGTTATTGTGCATCATTAGAACACCAGATAGAGCCTGTAGGAATAAATGGAGAATGTGTCCCCATGGACACAGATGATGCCCCCCTTGCATACAACATTATAAAGGGACATAACTCAAGAACAATAAAAGTGACCCTACCCAAATTTGTACCTGATCTGAGTTTTGTGTTAATAAGTATTGTGTAAAGGTTTCGTAATGTTTGGTTGGGGCAAAACTTAAGTTACAGAATGGAAACTAAAAATTTTGCAATTTTTCGATTTATAAAGGGCATAACTTGATAATGATTAAAGTGATGCAACCAAAATTCAAACTTGATCTGTGTTTTGTGGTAATAAGCATTGTGTATAAGTTTCATAACATTTGGTTGAGGCAAACTTAAGTTAAAGAACGGAAACTAAAAATTTTGTAATTTTTCCATTGATAAAGGGGCATAACTCTAGAACAGTTAAAGTGACGCCACAAAAATTCAAACTTGATCTGTGTTTTGTAGTAATAAGCATTGTGTATAAGTTTCATAACATTTGGTTGAGGCAAACTTAATTTAGAGAAAGGAAACTAAAAATTTTGTAATTTTTCCATTTATAAAGGGGCATAACTCTAGAACAGTTAGAGTGACGCTACCAAAATTCAAGCCTGATCTGTATTTTGTGGTAATAAGCATCGTGTATAAGTGTCATAACATTTGGTTGAGGCAAACTCAAGTTAAAGAACGGAAACCAATTTTGGGACGTACGGACAAGGGTAAAACATAATGCCCCCTCAGCTACGGCGTGGGCATAAAAATCGGTCTATATTTATTTTCAGTATCAGTCCCTCTTCAGAGCACTTCATTTACAATAAAATCAACAACACTTACTGTCTCCAGTGACCAGCATTCGTGTTTCATCCACATAATGGTCAGGGGCTGAACTTTGTGATACTGAATAATAAAAAGAAATTTCTCCCATTTAATACTTTTGTCAGTACAACTTAAAGTAAAAGCTAATGAATTTAAAATTTATATATTTTATTTACACTAGGTGCTTCGTCAAAGATAAATGTGTGGGTGCAAACTAATACAATCATTTGAATTGTGTAACAACAGCATGAACAGTTTACTAATTTTAGACAAAGAATACATATCTAAAATATTTCAATTGTTGTTTTTCTTCGTTTACTGTTCCTGTTTAAGTATATCATCATGATCATTCAAAGCTTCTGGGAGTTTCAGTAAATATACCACAATTTGTTTTAGATAGTCATAATTCATTCAAGTTACTTAAACATACATTAACAAAAAGTCAATTAGATGAATGTGTTTTCAGGCATTGTATCTGGTCAATTAGATGAATGTGCCTTTCAGGCATAGTAACCAGTCAATGAGATGAATGTGTTTTCAGGTATTATAACCAGTCATTCAGATAAAGGTATTTTTCAGGCATTGTATCTGGTCAATAAGATGAATGTGTTTTCATGTATTGTATCTGGTCAACCATATACATATGAATGTGTTTTCAGGCATTGTATCTGGTCAATTAGATAAATGTGTTTTCAAGCATTGTAACCAGTCAGTCAGATGAATGTGTTTTCAGGCATTGTATCTGGTCAATCAGATGAATGTGTTTTCAGGCATTGTAACCAGTGAATCAGATGTGTTTTCAGGTATTGCCACTGGTCAATTAGATGAATGTGTTTTCATGTATTGTAACTGGTCAATCAGATATAAGTAAATGTGTTTTACAGCAATGCAACCAGTCAATCAGATGAATATGTGTTCAGGCATTGTATCTGGTCAATCAGATGAATATGTGTTCAGGCATTGTATCTTGTCGATCAGATGAATGTGTTTTCAGGGAATGAATCTGGTCAATGAAATGAATGTGTTTTCAGGCATTGTATCTGGTCAATCAGATGAATGTGTTTTCATTGATTGTAAGAAATATAAATTAAATTATCTATAATACCTTGATTTTCTTGCACTGGTAGATAATCATTGGCTAATCTTTCTCTCATTAAAATGTAGTTCTCTGCATCTTTTACTGAAACGAAAAAAATATTTTTATATAAAAAGAAGATGTTGTATGATTGCCTATGAGACAACTATTCTCTAGAGACTAAATGAGGTAGATGTTTGAAACTTTAGGTCACCACATTATTAGTACAATTTAAAAATGCTCATTTTTATTTTTACCTTCAATAAATTAAATACAACTTTAAAAATGTTACACCTCTTAGTGTTCATTTTCTGTTGATGGTTGTGGGTGAAAATTTCACACATATTGCATCTGACATTCTCATGCTTTGCTAACTAAATCCTTTAAAACTATTCAATAAATTACCACCCACTGAATGTAAATCATATAATCTCTTGTTATATGGAGACCTTTTGACTACATGTACATTTACATTATCATGATAATGGTCTTTTAAGAATGAATGGCCTATAATGAAACAGATGTCTTTAAATGCCCTGCCACAATATATTAATGCAACCAGTCTGGGTTTTTGTTGGATGTTTTCCTGCTTTGTATTAATCTGATGAGTTTTAAGCCCTTGTCAACTGAATTTTATAGTTTGTTCAAAGATTGTGTTTTGCCTTCAAACATGTTTTCTTTTATTGTGATCACACCACAGAATGTGACTTGTTGCAAGATCTTTATTTTACTTGATCAACATGGAAGGAACTGTTTTCCTTGATTGTGATCACATCACAGAATGTGACTTGTTGCAAGATCTTTATTTTACTTGATCAACATGGTAGGAACTGTTTTCTTTTATTGTGATCACATCACTGCTGAATGTGACTTGTTGCAAGATCTTTATTTTACTTGATCAACATGGTAGGAACTGTTTTCCTTGATTGTGATCACATCACAGAATGTGACTTGTTGCAAGATCTTTATTTTACTTGATCAACATGGAAGGAACTGTTTTCCTTGATTGTGATCACATCACAGGATGTGACTTGTTGCAAGATCTTTATTTTACTTGATCAACATGGAAGGAACTGTTTTCCTTGATTGTGATCACATCACAGAATGTGACTTGTTGCAAGATCTTTATTTTACTTGATCAACATGGTAGGAACTGTTTTCCTTGATTGTGATCACATCACAGGATGTGACTTGTTGCAAGATCTTTATTTTACTTGATCAACATGGAAGGAACTGTTTTCCTTGATTGTGATCACATCACAGAATGTGACTTGTTGCAAGATCTTTATTTTACTTGATCAACATGGTAGGAACTGTTTTCCTTGATTGTGATCACATCACAGAATGTGACTTGTTGCAAGATCTTTATTTTACTTGATCAACATGGTAGGAACTGTTTTCCTTGATTGTGATCACATCACAGAATGTGACTTGTTGCAAGATCTTCCCAGGAGAAATAATTTAAAGCAAGTTATAATGTTGGAAAAGGTTTGCTACATGTATATTTTTTAAATGTAAACATATAATAAACTGTTAACACAGAGATATGTCTCACCTTTTTGTAATTTTGATTATGCAAATGTAAACATATAAGTTATGCAAATATTCAAAGTCAATGAACCATGACTGAGGTACAGGGCTAAACAATCTCAATGGAAATGAGATATGCCAATGCTAATACAACTGCATACCAAATACCTTCCAGCTGACTTATTATAAGTCATTCCCTTTAAACAAACCTAAACACAAACATTAACTTGTAAACTATGTAAATTAATGTTCAAAGTCAATGAACCATGACGAGGGGGTGGGGCTATATAATCTCCATGGAAACGATACTTGCAAATACCAATAAATTTGCATACCAAATATCATTGACTTAACATTAAGCAGTTCATCTTAACTGATCTAATCACAAACTAATACATGTAAACTAAGCTAAAGTTTCAAAGTCAATAGACCATGACTGAGGGGGGCGGGGCCAAAAATTCTCCATGGAAATGAGATGTGCTAATGCTTATACAACTGAATACCAAATAACATTGGCCTACCACAAATGGTTCCCCTTGAACTGACCTAATCACAAACAAATACATGTAAACTGAGCAAAATTTTCAAAGTCAATAGACCATGACTAGGGGGCGGGGCTAAACAATCTCCATGGAAATAAGATCCGCCAATGCTAATACAACTGCATACCAAATATGATTGACCTACCACTTGTGGTTCACCATAAACTAGACCTGTTATCACAAACTAATACATTGTTGACGCCACGGCCGAGTGAAACAGCATACCTATAGCTATGTCTCACTTTTTGACTCCATCAAGGCGAGACAAAAATTACATTCCGTAACATCTGTACTTCAACAGTGACATTTGATTGACCCTCATAAATGTATGTGTGATGAATGCCCATGTAGGCTGTACTATAATTAAAACATAGTACATTTGTAAATAAGTTTCTTAAATTAAATCATAGGTCTATTGTTAATCTAACGGATGTTGAGCAAAACACTTAAAAACTTGTATCATTTTTCCTATGTTCGATTTAAAAGCCATTTCCTATTTATTGTAAAAATAAAGTCAAGAATAAACTATTTTTTGAACCATTTAAGGTCCTATTGATCATGTTGATAGAAAATATATCAGTATACATACATTTAGTACAGTACTCAGTAAATACAAAAAGTATAACAGCTGTCATTGAATACATATTACAGCAAACAAATATTGCAATTTAAATTGTATTTCAAAAGCCTGAATAGTTCAGTATACATGAAGATGTGATTTCAGCAAAACTTTGGTTATTTCCTATTTAAAAGTCACTTAGGCAAGTTTTGATAACAGTTTGTACTAGATGTACCTTTTCCATCAGTTAAGAATATCATGAATACATGACATACTTAGCTTAAAACAGCTTTATTTAGTAGATTATTACTTTAGCTTATACAAATGAATGATTAAATGTACCTGAAATAACTGACTCATATATATATATATATATGTATGATGTATTTAATTGACAGATTTAATCAAACAATAATCATGATAATAAACTGCTTTCAACATGTTCAATATGTCAGAACTGTCAATTTATTTTACAAATGTTAAGTCTGTTATACTAGTCATGATAGTGATAATGTACATGGTGTAAAATTTCTATCTGGCTGGAGAGACCAGTTGTCAATATTTTTTTATTCCAGCTACATGTACATGTACATTAAATGTAGCTATAGGTTTTCTATGTGTATTTGTGTAGATGTTTTACAGTGTGCAGTTAACATAAAATATGTATTGGACCTGTTAAACAATGTTGTCAGATGACTATCCTTTTCTGGGTAATTCTTTATGTAATTATAGGACAGTTAATTACCAGAGGCTAAATATTAAATTAATAAATATATATTATTGTCGCATATGATTTCCCACCAAATCTATTCAAATTTGTGTCGCTTGATCATTACATAAGTATGTAGACAGATTCTACCAATTAACCTCATTACATATGATATTTTTTATTTTCAAAATTAAGACTATCTCAAGTGGATGAATGTCATTATTAATGCAGCCTTGTGGTATGAACTATGACACATGTCAGTATATAAAATAATTCCTCAAATAATTCTATTTGTATAAACTTCACAACTTTAATATACTTCATATATATATGTACGCTATAGGATGTATGTATAGAAACATTGTGTGGAGATTCAAGGACCTATTGAAACTACAAAACACATGCAAAATCTGGAAGTAAATTGATCATGATTAAAATAGAATTGTTATGTAACCCTCAGTAAATATCATGCAACTGTGAACAATTGATCAATAAGTTTCTAAAATGCATGAGCATTTTTATTTAACCATTTGACAGCATATATATATATATATATATAGTCAGGACATTGTTGCAGTTAGCAGCATATATACAATAACATTGTTTGAGAGTAAAACTGTAATTTTTCCAGTACATGTATTTGAGTCTCATATTGACATGATTGAGACCAAAGTACTTGATGTTCCAGTATATTATACATTTTGTAATAAACCTGTACACAATAATATTTAACAGGACAAGAAATTTAAACAATATATTCATGTAATAAAACTGACATGAATACTGTGCTATTTAAAAATTGATTTTATTCTTTTATTCTAAAGTATTGACTACATGTATTAATATCTTTAATTTTCACCTGTAAATTTCCTAAAATACGAGGTTATCATGTTTACAGAGCATGCTATTTTGAGGAAGTAAATAGAATTCCCTATAATACAAAACCATTCAAATTCAAAACCACAAAATCTCATCACAGGTATGTATATATATTAAACTTGACACATATCTAAACCATGATATCAGCCATCATTTAAATAATAAACAATTCAAAATTGAAATATCAAAGGAAATTAAAGAAAGTAGATATCATTGAGATGGGAGCCATCTCTGTGGGCCCCGCTGTGAATAATGTGTGGTAAAAAATTTATATCTTTATCATTGGACATGGGGTTGTCAACTGAAACCAAAGTTTTTGACCTTGACCTTTGACCTAGGAAGTTGTACATAAATTATGACACACCCTCTGGTGTTGGTTTATATACATGTCAAGTATAAATTTTGAAATCATAACGGTTCTCAAGATATAGAGCGGACGCGATCTTTACCATAGGACATGGGGTTGTCAACTAAAACCAAAGTTTTTGACCTAGGAAGTTGTACATACATTATGACACACCCTCTGGTGTTGGTTAATATACATGTCAAGTATAAACTTTGAAATCATAACAGTTCTCTAGATATAAAGCGGACACAATTTGTTACGGACGGACGGACAGACTGATCACTATATAGGGCGTCCGCCATTAGGCGGGGCCCTAATAATCAAGTGTACTTATTGACTTCTATTTTCATATTAAATATTTCATTTTTTAAGGCCATAGAGGCAAGATTAATTTGTCCCATATATATAAATTGATCACTATTTTTTGTTTACATACATGTAAAACTATATACATACACTAAAGTATTTGATTTAGGATTGGATGGATAAAAATATCAATGTTAAATAGTTCCACTTCACATGGCCGGTTTAACCATCTGCAACTGTCAAACCACCCATTGACAGCAGCTACTCTTCAAACACAGTACTGTTATTTCTTTATATTAGATTAATTTGTTTGTATGAGTACATTGTACATGTACTTTAAAAAAGTTTGTTAAATTAAAAGCAAAGAAGTCAGTATTTGTATTTTGCAAGGCAAGTTATTTTTTTTTGTCTTTGCTTTAAACAATGAAAACCAAATATACAACATGTTTATGAACTGTAAATATATGTACATTGTATATGAAGAATTCCATGTTTTGCTATCTCTTTTCCTGAACATATTTGTGTTGAATGTATTCATACTGTTTGGGTTGATTCTTCTCTTACTGCTCAATTTTGATTGACAGAGTTTCTGTCTTATCATTATTGTTTTCAAAATAAGCAAAAATGAACTAAAATTGAGATAAGACGCTCTATTGTTCACCTTCATGTACAGTTGTAGGTCTATGTGCATCTTCAACAATGGACAATCTCCAACATTGTGGACTAGAATTGATTTCATGCTAATAAATTTTGCTTTTAACATGTTTAATGTATCCATCTATCTTTTATAATTTTCAAGATAATAGGCAAAAATGTAAAAAAAAATAGCAAAGGGTTCCATGAACCCCTGTGTCTCGCCTGTGATTGCTGCTCAGTGTAAATGTGTATAGTGTGTCCGGATGATGAATTATTTATCAGTATTACATGTATATAATTGTTTTTTAAAAATCTAACTTTTTTTCAGATTCTATTTCTTGATCTTGAATATTAGCATATATGGCAAATTTTTATAACATTCAATAAAGGGATACAAATAATGAATTGATTATGTCAACAAAATTGAATCCCAGACTCACTCGAGCTCACAATCTCTAAATGTAAACTGCAATATAAACTTAGTCTATCTATCAGTATGATCAGTATAATACTGAAAAAGGCAAAAATATATTTTCAAAATGCATGTATTGCTTCAGACATTATTTCTAAAAAATAAAGAAGCTTCTGCCAAAGTTTTCTACAACGGTACATGTATGCCAATGTAATTAATGTGTATTAAACTTTAACCATGTTAACCCCTGACTGTATCTACTTGTTAACTGCTACAAAATAAGTCCTTTAATCATAACATTATGCGGAAATGTAAAAAAATATTTTCATTATTTTGCTCTGGATAATAGTGTCTTATGATCATTAAAAAGCTTCTGTTCAACTACATAAAATTTCATAAAGTTTTGACAAAGTTTTTTGATTACTGGATACATTGTACATGTTGTAACTTAACCTTGGACAGAAATTGTTAATTGTAAAAAAAAACATCAGACTGTTCAAACTTCAACCTATTAATGTTGCAGACTGTGCCACCAATGGAATTTAGAATCCCTACGTCGCTTTCACAATATGAATGTTGCAGACTGCGCCACCAATGGAATTTAGAATCCCTATGTTGCAGACTGCGCCACCAATGGAATTTAGAATCCCTATGTATCACAATATGAATGACGTTGCAGGTTCAACAAAAGTTGTCACTAAAGAGCAAGAACTCCAATAAGAAGTCGACTGACTATTTTGGCCATGCTGACTTTTTTATAAATCTTTATTTGCATATCATTTTTGCTATTTAAAGTGCCTATCTATACATGCATATACATGCAGCTATCTTATTATAGTTTCAAGATAATAGACAAAGTTTTTATCTATCTATTATAAGAAATCAGACAAAAAAATATTGTAGGATAAATAACCAGATGTCTGTGAAAATTTGTTAAAGCTAGTAAAATCTGTATGAATGTACAATGTACACCGATGTAAATAATATTTACAAATGTTACTTACATGTTATGTATATATTTAAGTAATAACTACAATAGCCTGGTTTTCAACATAACTTGTATAGGTAATTTTTAAAGTTATTTGTTTAAGCAAATGTTAAGTATGATGATTATTTGGTAAAATTTGTCCTGGAAGTTTCAAAGAGGAAGATTTAAAAAAAGTTATCGGACGACAGATGCAAAGTGATGAGAAAAGCTTACTTGGCCCTTTGAGCCAAGTGAGCTAAATAAAGTGGAAATGACTTTAAGGATACAATGTTACCATGATTACATATGATATATATATATGGGAAATCCAACATTGTTATAATCATTATAACTACATTTTTTTGTGTAAATGCCACTATACAAATATTAATGTTAGGTCAACATGAAATCATTTATCATATATATATATATAATTATGTCTTATACATATTAAGCAATTTGTTTATATCTATGCCAGGGTTGGCAAAGTATTACCTGGCAGGAAATCCTGGGTGGGAAAACCCAAGTGTTTCCAGACTGGAAATCACTCCCAAAAATAGGGAATATGATTTTTAAGCTTATTCATGTTATTATTACTTATACATTTGTAATAGTTAAGAAATATTAAAATTTAATAGTACATACAAGTACATGTATAAATTAAAACTATCATTTATAGCGTTAATTCTTGAGTATGTGTTGAGAGCCATTTTCAGAGGATCAAACAATTGAATTTCTTTCATTTCTTCTAAAGTTCTATATACATGTACAATGTACATGTTAGCAGAATACAAAATTTGCATATTTTTGGACCTTGTTTTATTCCCAGCTGTGATTGAATAAATCAAGAGTTTGAAAAAATACATTTAGTGAATTGTAAAATGTAATTTCAAGCCCCAAACGGTACCAATCCAGCCCCATAGTAAAACATGAATAATTACTATAAAAATCTGAGGGTTTTATAACATAAATGTATATATGTACAATATATGTGATTCATGGTAAGTGAAATTTGCATATGAAAAATATGTGTACATTGTACATTTTGTACATTTCGCCGATAATCGGAGAAATATTTTAGGAAACAGCACTGACAATCGATGACATTCGGTTTTAAACAAACATGATCATGATTAATTTTCATTATTGCAGTGATAATTAGTACGATTTTTTACCTCAAAGTTGTAATTGGTAATGTTTCAAAAGAATTTTTGTCTTAAGCTATAGTCCCAAGTTGTTCCCAAGCTTATGCAAACATTTCCCTGTTATAAAAGATGATAAAATCAAATACTCAATTTCATATCAAATTTTCAACTTTGTAAAGACGAAAACAAAGAACTACAACTTCTTGCAATGATTGGTGTACATGTATGTATTGCTATATATTGCTAGCTTCCATTCAGATCACACATAACAATCTGAGAGTGAAAAGATATTAAATCTTGAATACGCCAAAAAATCGTTTCTGACATTTTCTAACAATGTCAGACAGGAATTAATAATGACTCAGAAGTTTCAACGAATAGATGTTTTAGATAGCCCTTTTTAAACTTAAATAACATTCAAAACAGTGTCAAGGATCCAGGTTCGTTCTTTCAGGCAAGCTAATTTTCAAAAGTGCACTACCTACATTTGTACGAATCTGGGTCCGTTCGTGCCCATTCACGTTTGCCCCCTTTCACTTTCGCACCCTACAAGTTTGCACCCTTTTAATTGGTTTTGTGTTGTAATCGAGTTTTGGTAAGTGTATTGCTGTAATTTATTTTTTTTCATTATTTCGAAATAAAGTTAGATTCTAACAACGTTTTGTTTGTGTTGAATAAATCTTAATCACGTTTTGGTTAGTGTATTCATGGTATTGGTATATACATATATATATATATATATATTTTTTTTTTCATTGTTTCAAAATAAAGTGAGCTCAAAGGGACCAAGCTGTTAAAAACAATTATCTTTCGTGTTTTTCATTTAAAATCTTCAATGTTTTACTCATACCAAGCTAAATACATGCAGTATTTACAAAGGAAGTTAAAACAATAATCATGATTTTCAAACCCACAACAATAATACCAAATTTAGCTGTGTATAAGTACTAATCAGTAATCATACATAATTAACATTTAACAATTAATCATCAAATTGTTAAAAAAAAACATTTCATATAATAATTCCCCAATTTTTATTTAGGAAAATATAATTTTTTTTGGTATATGCATATAAAAAATTATCTAATAATTCAACTGGAATTTGAATAAAAATTGGGTGCGAACGTGTACGGTGCGAACGGTCATAGGGGGCTAACGTGTGAGGTGCCAACGTGTATTGGGCGCAAACGGACCTGATACCCATTTGTACATGACCTATTGCATGTACATGTATTGTGACTTTTTTCCTATCCCTGCATCATATTTATCTTTATTATTTTCAAAAAGTTAAATCGTATATGACATACATGTATGGCCAAAACGTCTCGAAAGCATCTGTGGGCAGTATAAAGCATAATCAGAAAATTGCTCCAGATTTAGATTCACAAAAGAGATTAGACCCAGTGATAAGACATAATAAGACATAAAGCTTTATTTAGAGTCGGTATGTGCAAATACAAGTATAAAACATAAGCTCTGAAGAGCTTTTAAAACAATGATGTACCCTCATTAGATATTAATGTGCTGAACCAGGGACTTTCTATACTAACGTTAGTATAGAAAGTCCCTGGCTGAACATTGATGACAAATTATTCCAGTCAAACAGTCCTGCACTTTAATAGGAAGTATAATAGTGCCTACATCGTAGACTGAATTGCACACTGCAAATAGTGCAATCAAAAACATAAGAAAATGTTCAGTGATATAAATACTCACTGACAATGCTTCTGCAGTCTTGTAAGACATCAAGACGGCCTAGTTCGATTAAATACTTCCACAAATTTCCAAGTGTAGGATTTAAAGCTGGCGTACTTTCCCAGTCTACCAACAGATCCTGAGTTGGACTTTTTTGTCTACTAAACTTTCTCATTTCCAATGCAGTGAATCCAATCAACTCTGCAAGACCATTCCAATCGGTGACATAACCACATTCTTCGTCAATGATATCACTTTGATCGTCTAAATACAGTGCGATCTTCGATCTCGCGCTTTTTCTCAAAGCATCTAATGGGATAGATGTTAACCTCGAATCCAGGTTTAAACTTTCCCCCGTGTCATCCAAAATTTCCATGTCTTCGTCCATTTTACGCGACATTATGCTTTAATTTGTTTTTTTCATGTTATGTTATTTTAAAGAAATTAACACATTTTTCACATTATAATTGTCAATTACTGCATATTGTAATATATTAAAAAGTTGCTAAATCGCAAGAAAATCACAAGTCATACCAACTTTTTTTCATCTGACAACACTTCCGTGTTGAAGGAAGTGCATTTCACATTACGCGTGCGCACATCGATAGGGAAATTCCCATTCTTTTCGGGACATTACCATAGTTTGCGTTACGACCCCTATGTTCAACATGTTCAATAATAAATACAATAGGATAATATAAAACTAGACAAAAAAAAAGTAACTATTATTATCAGAGACTTAAACTGGGAAACCCGATAATTTGAAACCGTTTCACAGGTAAATATCTCGGGTAACTATTTTAAAGCATATATAGTTATCAAACCATGTCAATGACTTATGTATTAATTTAATAAAATTGAAACTGAAAATCACTAATTTACATATTTCATTATATATCATTTTGTCAATGATTTGTATAGTAAGTATAGTAAGACTATACAAAGACTATACAAATCCTTTATTTTGTGTAAATACATCAATTAAGTTATGTCCCAGATTATCATAGTCACAGTGTAAAACCATCAAAAAATAAACTTGATTACAATGTATAAATACGATCCAATTAATAATTATATAGACCAGTCTCTCTCACCTGCATGCTAAACTAATGGAGCATAATTATAACTAGCCATATTATTTCTCATGCTGATACACACAAAATTATGCAGGGGCGGATCCAGAATTTTGGAAAAGGGGGGGGGGGGGGGGGGGGGGGGGGGCTGGGGCGGAGTATGTAAAGTTCGCCGAGCGGAGTTAGGCGACAATTTTTATGGACCTATTTTTGGCTAAAAAAACATAAAATAAGTGTAAAATGCACTTTTTTAACGGTTCCTGACGTGGGGCATGTATATTTTATAGTTAAAGTGTAAGGGTTGGACATTTTTGATGCCGTATTTTCCCTATTAATTGTCTATTATAAAATGATTGGATGGATCCAAAGCTATGTACTAATATATTTAATGTGGGATTTGTCAGTAAAAAATGGACATGGAAAATTCTCGTTTGTTGTAAGGTTAGTTAACATAACCTCACAGATTTCTTGTTGAAAACAAGATATACGGCCATTCAATGAAATTTACAATAGAATAAAATAGAATAGAATATTTTTATTTCCCAAATTACAGGGCCCATAAAGGGCATAAAATCAGATACAATTGATTTACATAATTGGTAACAACAACAATAATAGTCACTTGAAAATATATATTTAGTATATTAGCATTGGTCAGAATCAGAGCCAAAAAACACATATATATTGTGAATAAAAGAATAAAATTACATTATATGCATTCATTCTCAAATCATTTACTTGACTTAGTGTCAATATGCATACCTGATCTCCTTAATTCAAAACAGTCACAAATATAACAGCCCAGTTTTTCCATAAGAGTTACATTTTCTTGAGTCAAGAGCCATAAAAATTTAGAAGATTTATTTAAATTTTTAAAATTATAACAATTGTCAGATATGTATTGAAAAAAGTCTTTCCTTTGAGTATCATAAAGAGGACATTCTAACAAAAAATGAAGCTCATCTTCAACTTTACCAAGTGAGCAATTTGAACAAAGACGCTCAGATCTTTCTATATATTTTTTTGAATATCTGTCTGTCTCAATTTTTAAAGAGTGAGCACTTATTCTTAATTTACAAATTGACTGTCTTTTTTTAAAATCCTGTAGTTCTAAATATTTTTCTTTTTTAAAACAATTTTTTATAGAAAAATAAGTACCAAGCTTCCCTTTTTCAGAGTTAATTGTTTGATACTTCAGTCTATTCCAAAATGTTAAATAACTTTCACATAGTTTATTTTTAACATACTGACATAAAGAACCAATTGATTGGTCAAAATTTGGAAAATCAATCTCTCTCTGAATATAATCTATACTTGAGTACCATGTATTTACATTAGAAATATGTAATTGTTTACAACATATGAATGCATCAAATAATAATCCTTCTTTCAAACCTTCCAGTCTATGACAATATTTTAACATTAATAAAATTATAGTAAAATAAATAGGAAATCTACCAGGCTCTGACATCACAGCTATGTTACTGGACTTTCTGTTTACACCAAGAATATATTTCATAAATTTGTTATGAGCTTTTTCAGAGGAATCCTGACCAAAAACTTTTTCCAATATATAATCATTATCTTTTTTACATGCAGCTGAATCAGTACGAAACATTCCCCATATTTCACTGCCATATAATAGTATGGGTTTAATTGAATGATCATAAAGATGTAAAAAAGTGGCAATACTAGGGTTAGATGATGACAAGCATCTCTGTAGCTTAAAACATGCTTTTAAAGATTTGTTGTATAATTCATCTTTACACTGCTTGAATATACCACTAGATGTAAATGTGATTCCAAGATATCTATATAATTTTGCACATTCTATCTCTTTACTTCCAAAATGTAAACAGCATTTTAAGAATTTTCCTGGCTTGTTAAAAATTATACTTTTTGTCTTTTTTAGATTAACATCAAAACGCCATTCTAAACAATATTCATGTAACATATTAATTCTCTTTTGCAAACCTTCCTGTGTTTCTGAAAAAATTACGACATCATCAGCATACATAAGACAATCTACTCTACGGTTATTAATAGTTACTGGATCAGGACATGACAAAAACTTGTCAGGTAGATCATTAATAAATGTTTTGAAAATATTCGGGCTTAAAACATCACCTTGTCTAACCCCTATAAATGATTTAAAACATGGGGTCATTTCATTATCAATTTTATAACATAGGTCACTTTTATTATACATATCTTTAATGATAGAATAAAACTTTCCAGTAATATTGTTTGTTAATAGCTTATATCTGATACCCTCATGAATCACTTTATCAAAAGCCTGTTTAAAAATCTACAAAACAGGCAAATAGTTTACCCCCTTTTTACTAATATATTTATCAATAATGGTTTTTAAAACAAAAACATGATCAGATGTAATACGACAGACACGAACAAAGATAAACTAGCAATTTTTATCCAAATGTTTGGTTGAAATGTTTCACCCAACAAGGGAAGTGAGGGGTTCCAAATCAACCAAAGGCTACGAATGAGTCTGAAATGACAACGTAGTTGTGAATGACGGTCGACAAATGGAGACATAAAGGCCACACCGAGCAGGCAGGTTGAAGTTGGGCCTTGATAAAAGTATATATTCAGCATATCAGTCCGGAGAAACAGACATTCCGGTCAGATATGAGATTTATAACATGCAAACCCCGGCCCCAAAAAATTACGCCCGTTTTTCAATCTTCATGTTCATTTAATGCTCAATAATTCTGTTGAAAATCTTTGTTTCTAATAGCAAAAAAGTGGACAAGATTACCGGTATTGTTTTCAATCCAGATACGGCCAGAATTTTTTCTCTAAAATATCTCAGACTGCCCCCTTAAATCAAATGGTCCTTACCTTAGATTTTAAATCTATCTAGAGCTTACTGACTGGGGATTATTATTCAGCAAATGTTATTAATGGGCTGGGGCGTGTGGGGTTAAACATGCATGTTTTCGTAGGTAAAGAATATTGCTGTGGAACTCAGTTTTTTTTCATGAGAGTGTAATAGAGTATTACTTTCTGTTTGGTGGAATTGTGAAATAGAAGTCAATACGTTCTTGCTCGGTCCTTACTCGCTTTGAATGTGTCATGCTTGTCATCCTCAGCCTAAGCAATGTGTTACTGTAATTTGAATTTCCAAATGACTGAGTGACGTTTTTTCGACGCACTGGTCAACTCCACCGTAGCGAATCACATGACTTTGACATAATCAATAATATATTATAGTAAATACGAGAGAAAAATATCTTTATATAAAGTAAAGAATTGTCGCATAAAAATTAAATACACGGGAAATGGCAAAGTTCACGAAGTCAAGTCTGATTAATCATTTTACCAACAACAAAAAAAGTGCAAGGAAAAGGGGGGGGGGGACGTACGCCCTCTACGCCCCCCTCTGGATCCGCCACTGTTATGTATCCACTTCTACATGGGTTTCAAGGGAATTACCATGTGAATCTCAACAAAACGATGAGCCTCCTCATTGGGTTTTTGATTATGTGAATACTTGGTTGTTTTCATAGTGATTATTTGATTATTTGATAATCTAAGACTGTATTTTTGATTATTTGATTATCTTGTTTAAAACTGAGACTATACTATAACACAAGGCTAACTTTAATTTAACAGTTGACTCTGTTATTTCGATAAATCGGTAGTGACCAATCTCTGTGTTACAGTAGTCTCAATTTAAAAAAAATAATTAATTACTAACTTATTATATTGGCAAAATATTTGTGATTATGTGATTACTTGGACACCCCCATGAGATGCCTCTATGATATACAAACAACTTAGACCAAGGAAAACATTAAACAGATTTATAGATTATCGTTGGTTATCTCAACGAGATTGATTTTCTCGATTGAGCCGGTACGGCGAAAGCGAGAGAAAAGCAATCGAGTTGAGATGACCAATATGATAATCTGTTTATCGCTATTTTACCTATGAAGACGTTGTTAATTTCCTTGACAACGGCACGTGTTCCCTTAGTTTCTAGCGATAATTTTCATATCGCTCGACTACGTTTTCATATCACTCGACTCCGCTGAGAACGGAAATTATCAGTCAGCAAGATCAAAGGAAAAATTCGTAAAAAAGGGATAATGTCTCATAATGAACTTCTCTAAGACATTTGATAAGGTTAGACATTGCCTTCTCATCCACAAACTGAAACATTATGGACTTCTCTAAGACATTTGATAAGGTTAGACAATGACTTCTCATCCACAAACTGAAACATTATGGACTTCTCTAAGACATTTGATAAGGTTAGACATTGCCTTCTCCTCCACAAACTGAAACATTATGGACTTCTCTAAGGCATTTGATAAGGTTAGACATTGCCTTCTCATCCACAAACTGAAACATTATGGACTTCTCTAAGGCATTTGATAAGGTTAGACATTGCCTTCTCATCCACAAACTGAAACATTAATATACACTATTTCTGACTTATGTCACAACCTCATCCAATGCAGATATCACAAACCCACAAACTGGCTAAATGGGAAACAACATGGCT